AATTCACATTGTGTTTCGAGATACCGAGAAGTGAAAGCTGAATTGGCAAGGTTGGGAGGAGGAGGGGGGGGGAGGGCTCTGTTTTGCCGTACGAATTCACAACAATGGACAGCTGCAGGTGGGGCGAAGAGAACTGTGATGCAGTGGCGATGTCAGGTGCAATGATTTATGATCGCGACTCGTGATTTATTTCGTAAACGACGGTTTTGTGCGCCTGTGGAAAGATAGTGAAAATAATTCCCAGGGCAACAACAACATCGCAATTGGAGTGCGAATTCTATTTCATCTCCACTGCGAATTAAACCTTAAACGTAAAAAAAAACCAGGTCATCCATATATATTCTAAAAAAAAAGTCCATTTGGGAGTTTAAACATAATTATACAACCATGCACTGCATTTTGGAGAAACGAAAATCTGTAGGATCCTGCCATAGTGCAATGGTTATCACATTGGACTTGCAAATCTAAAAGTCGACGGTTAGATTTTATCTTCCAGTGTAGCAGTTGAAACAATGGAGCTAAAGTTTCTGAAATCCCCCACCCCCCTGAATACTCCCACCTCTTTCCACGCAGCAGTATACATGGGTACAGCAAAGTAGGTCACGTGTGGCGAGGTAAATTGTGGGTACGCTCACCTCTTCCAACATACCTGGTGGGTCAAATACACTCTAGAGGAGCTCTACAAAGCTCCTTCTCGTGGAGGCTCTTCCACCAAGAGTGGCGTCAGCAAGGAATTGCAGGGTTGTGCCTTTACCTCTACCTTAGATCTGTATATGTGTATTCAAATACGGAGTGCAGAGGCCACGACACACCGTGCATCAGTTGGGGAAGCAACATCAAAGAATGGACCAAGAAGGAGTGGAGGCAAATCAGAGGGGAAGACACACAACGCAGAACAAATCTTGGGAGCCGGCGATAATGCACCGAGTCAGTAAGGACAGGAGCATATGAACCCCGAGGGTCACGAAGACCACGCCGATGAAGAAGACTCCAAAGGAATGTATGTGTACGCTGCATTCAGTGTATGCATATTGCGGCAGGGTTTCACGACTGTGGTTCCCACAGTTTCCAATCGCTCTCTCGCATGTAGAGAATGACTCGGAGGCATAAGGAGCCACAAACAAGGGAGAAGGCAATCAGGCATTGAGCTGGCAACAATTGCCCAAGCTCTGTGGTCCTCTATATATTCAGAATTTTTTTCTAGCCAATTAAGTGTTTCTGCGTGTGGGAGGAAACCGGAGCACCTGGAGAAAACCCATGCACGTGAGTGGGGGTAACCTTTATCCCCGTACAGATAGAAACAGACGGAGATTAATCCACTTGCTGCACTGACATATTTTAGAAAGCCAGATAGATGACCTTGACGCCCATGGGAGTTTCACGACATTTGTCGTCCATCAACCCTGACTGCCTCCATAATGCTGTATTACAGGCATTAATAGCCACCACTTCCTGGATCATGTAGATTTGTGAAACCCTCATGGCAAAGATTCAATATATCCTACTGTAAATTAATCTCAATAATTCTAGTTAAACGTTTAATTTACATCACATATTTTCTGACGTTTCTACTGTTGTTGTATATTGTGTTGTTTTGTAACCCAGGTCTCCATTTAAACCAAGGCTTTTTGGATGTGAAAGGCTTTTACCGACTTTAAGTTAAAATTTCGTGATGACATATTAAATGTTTGGCGGATAAAATGCAGGTACAAACTACGAACAAAAAACGTAAGTGTACTTGGGCAAGACACGATGGCTGATGGTCGAGACTAACAACAGAGCGGCAGCCAAAGGAGAAAACGTGCCCGGGAAACCATCACACGCAGAGATCGAGCGAACGTTGAGATCAACTTGCGGAGGCCTTCATACAGCAATGGATTGATCATGGTGGACGATGAAGATGAATGATTAAACCTGCTGACCTGCCCATACTCATTGGATTCCTCCAGTCTAAATACCGAGTTTGATTCTGTCTCACCAGCTGGCCCGAGTGTATACGGACACTCCCTTGTTCATTGATGCAGCAAATCTGTCAATAGGTCGGCGTTCCTTGCCAGAGCATAATTAAGTGTACAGCGTGGCAAGAGCAAGCAAGGCGCGGGAGTTGTGGAAGACCTCTAGAAGTCAAATCAACATCTGTAGCTGTCAGCTAGCATTTACCACCTAGAGCCATGTCAACAAGGCAGCTGCTGTCTCCACACATAAACACATAAGCTGCCCCCCCCCCCCCCCCACGAGCACGTGGAGAGGAGCGAGTAGAGCTGCCGCGACATGGCAGAACTACGGCGGACAAAGATCGCACCCAAGAAATTTGGATTGCGGGTTTTGTGAAATATCGTTGTTTCGTGAGGATCGCTGCTAAATTTTACTTTATAATAATTTGCATTTAGAAGGCGCAATTCATCCAGGGATCCTAGTGCAGCATACACGAAGCTAGTCAATATTAATCATACACAGTCCAGTCCACTAGTCATACATACATATATATTTGCCTGATATTGTTGAAATCATAAAAGTTCACAATAATTATGACTAAATAAATATTCATGTTAATATTAAAAATAATAATACCCAAAACGTCTGGGAAAACAGAAGGCATCGTGGCTATACGTCAGCATTTCCTGAGAGCTTTGTGCCTAATAAGCGTTACAGATTACAAAGTTGGTATGATTAACAACACTTATTGCAGACTTATGTTGAGCGGACTGCGGTTGAAGAGCGATTAAGCAATCCATTGGTGCTCCAAGAACATCAAAGCACATAAACAACATGACAAAACAAATGTGAAATACAATTACAAAGTTAGGGCAAACCGAGATCGCGATAAGATTCACGTCATGAAATATAACATCGTATTGTGAAAACGCATACCACGGCAACCGTAAGAGGACGGCACATGCGCCTATCATTGCTAGCATCTATAATGAAATAATTGCTATTTAAATGTATATTTTTATTTTATTCTCCCATGCCGAACCTCGTCAGATCTCATCCACCCAGATCCCGTTGGCAGTTGCTCGCTCAACACTCAAGCAACGCGAGTAATGAAGGAGGGGGGGGGGGGGGTAGGAGGGGTACGATCTTGAATAATCCCCTACAGGGAGAGACACGTAAATGGTGTGACTCCTGCTGTCTATTAGTTTGCCCACTTTTTGGCATAGGCGAAAAAAATAACCAGCAAATAAATTAACGGCCGAGGAGTTGATTTCAATCTTGACGTTGTAATGAGATTGCCCAATTAACACGCATCCTGATTTTTTTCTTCAAGCGCAGTAAGCACTTGACTTCATTAACGTCTCGTGAGCGACAATTCCGGATTCTAGCAAATTAACGTTTTTGTTGTAAAAAAAAACGAGCAAACGCGTGCAAATAAATATATAACTTGCCAGAGACGAACCCATCAAAAAATGGTGTTACACAAAAGAAGCCAGGAGATTAAGCTTTTGACAGATGCACATGTGTTCTGACTTTTATTTCTGTACAAAAGTTCTGAAGGAAAGGTCAGAAAGCAGGAGATAGTACAAATGTCAATTTAATCAGTGTCCAAACTTTGCATCTGGTAACAATTCCGCCTAACACTATTATTGCCCATTCCACCCACAGCAGGGGTTTATGTTCGCAGATTTATTAACACCACTAATTCTCAGATACATTTGCACCAACCCTTCCCTCACCCACTGAGAGGCATAGACAAGCAGAAAGGCAGCCAAGCGATGAACCATCGTCAACAATTGCCCAAACTCTGCAGTCCTCTATATAAAGGTGGGGTTGGCCAATTAATTAATGTTTAAATGGAGGAAATCGGAGCATCCAGAGAACAACCCACGCGTGAAAGGGGGCAACGCTGTATCCCATTTCGATGGAACAGGCGGAGCCCACGTTTTTCTGTATCACGTTCTCTTTGCGAGCCAGGGTACGGCACCTTGACACCCATTGGAATGGAGTTTCACAACATTTGTGTGATCCACCAATCATTGCCTTCACCTTGCTGGATAACAGGCGTGCATAGCCGCCACCACCATCCAGCTGCTTTTACCTGATTTCTACATACGAGCCATGTAAATCACTGGACAGTTAGCACTTATGACGATAGCTCACACCACCAATCTCACTTAATTTTTTATGCACGTCAAAAACAATTTTTCCCCAATTACCAATCGGTGAGAAATATATTTTAAGAATTTAAAGTTGCCGATTAACATATTTAGAGAACAACTCTAATTGCATTCACATCGCTGGTTTCCGCAGCAGTGTTTAAATTAGATGAAATATTTAATAATGTTACATTTCAACTCTTGACATTTTGCAAGTATTTTTAGGTTGAACCTTAGGATTTTTTTGTCAACCATTAATTTCCAACAGTACAGCTTTATTAGCGTCTTCTTCCACTGCCAAAGGAAATAACCATCATGGTGAACCTGCATTCCAACTACACAGAACACATTGCGTTTCATTGTCTCAAAACCTGTTTAGTGACTAACTGCAAGGCAATAAATCGCAAAGGGAAAACCGCAAGAAGGGGATTTTAATCCACACTCTTAGCGCTTAGTGTCAAACAGATGGACAGTTAGCACTTAATTATTTTAAGCACCCTGGAAATTGCCGTGCAGGGAATTCAAAGTCCATAATTCCCAATTCTCCCAACCGAATGCAGATGCTCTCATCTGCGTGCCAGCAGCCAGCAGGTCACGCAGCCCTACTTCATGCAAGGATGAATTGGATCTGAATAGATTAAGTATCTGGACAACATTATTTTTTTTCTTACTGATGGATATTGATCAGCGCTGGTCTTAAAAGCCACTTAATTTCCAGATGATGGAATTGCAAACACATAAGACTGTAACAGCGTTAAAATAGGCAAGTTTACCAGCAGAGGTGCAACCAGCACAAAACGGGCTCCCATCATCCGTGCACGTGAAACTAATTGCAGTAAGAAATTTTTATGGAAATTATCGCCCGGCATTTTTCTTCCCTCGCATACTTTCTCCTCCATTTCATACCTGCGTCTTGCCCAGTTTCGCACAGTGTCTAATTTTGATTGAAGCCACCGAACGCCGCGAACACCGCTCGATCGACTCTCGGCTCTGCCGCTACGCCACGGAAGGTGTTATTCCACTTAAGAGACCCCCCGCCACCCCCTCCACCATCTAGGCCAAGGCACCGACAATGCGGCTCAAACAAGTTGACATCGCCGAGAACAAGCTATGGGAGACGCCACAGGGCATGTGGGAGAGTCCCCTTTCAGAGCAGAGTCCTGCATCACAGCCGCTCCAACAGAAAGGAGCACGATCACCATGCGGGAAATACAAAGGCAGCAGCACCTCCCTTTACACCACACTTTGCGCCGAGTTTCCCGTTCCTGAGAGCTGCTTCTCGCTTCAAGTTCATTCCATCGTCTCTGATCTTGCACTCTCCACTTCGTTTTGTTTTTGCGCCTCCATATGAGGTCACGGAGCAGCACTGTCACTTTCTCTTCCTCAATTGGCGTTCCGCTCCAGCAGCGTCCTTCATTGCACAGCTTCCTACGGAGAAAGCCCCCTCTTCTCTCGCAAATTTAAAACGCGCGATTAAAAGCTCCGTCTCTTTAGCTCATCTGCGATAAGGCGAAAATATTCGTGGCGACCTGGGAATATGCACTCCCCGTGTAATTTCTTAATTTCAGAAATCGGTGTTAATTACAATAGGAGGTAATATTTTATTGCATTACCGAAGACATATGACACGTTTGGTATGTTAAATATAAGCAGAAGGATTTCATGCATATTGCAACTTATTTAAAGTAATCTTGATTTGAAGCTTTCGTGACTGCAGGAATCCATGCTCTTTGGTTCTTTCGGTAAAGTCACGTGGGTAGACAAAATAATAGATCACAACATTTCGATCGCAACACAAGCAATCGTCATCAGGTGAGACAACCACAGCAAGAAAAACTGCTGAAGTATTTAAGTGACTCTGATACTCCTTTATTGATGTGAAGTGATCTATGTAAATAAAGACCGATTGAATTTATTGAATAGAGCCACGCCAGATCTGCTTTCTCTGAAATGTTCCACTTGGAAATGCCTCCTCCTGAACCAATTCTAGCTTTTCCTCATTACCTTTGTCTTTCAATACAACTGATTTTTCTCCATTCGATTCCACACGCCCACACCTCACACACATTTGCAAAATTCCTCATCCCCAAACTCCAGGTGATAAAAAAGTCTGGTGCCAGAATCCCAAAACTCCGATCCCTCCACTGGCTCCCAATCCAATCCCAGATCAACTCAAACATCACACTCACGTCTTCAATATTTTTCATGGACTTATCTATGCCTAGCTCTCCTTTCTCATGTCACTCTACTCCCCCTCCACGCACTCTCCTACCACTTCCACCTCATTTCACTCTAATCTCCTCCACGCACTCTCCTACCTCTCTCCCCTATCATCTCACCCCTACTCCCCTCAGCATTCTCTCTCTTCTCTCTGCTCCAGCAATCAAAACGTTCTGTTGCCCCCCCCGCCCGCCTCTCCCAGTCAACCGTTGCTCAGTGAGAGGTCACTCATTCTCCTCTGCCACTCTCATGGTCCTGGATCTACGTCCTCTGGACCACCCCCACGTGACTGCACCGTGGGCTCTACAGCACCTTGGGATGATAGCCACATTTGGACACTACTGTAGTCTATTTCCTAATTCGACACCTTACGAACTAGTGTAGTCAAAGGTGATCTTGCTCAGGATGGTATAAATAAACAATATAACTATTTAATAATAATAATAAACGCGAACAGCCACAAAGCACGTGGCCTTCCCTCCGCCTCCGCACTGTCCCAATACGGCGGTAAACAAAACGGCTCCACCCCTATTAACGTGGCAACACAATGTGAAGTTGTCTACACTACAGGTAGAACCCCTCTTAACGACGATAATTGGTTCCGTGATACCGGTCGTGAAGTGATTGGTCGTTAAGTGAGTAGATGTTTCCACTTCAAAGTGCAGCAGACACTGAATGTAAACAATGCCCCAAGGCTCACGAACGGACGTCGCCGATTGGCCGAGGCCTGGTCAGACCCCTTTTGGAGCTTGCCGATTGGTCTAAATTGGCGGTCACGTGCTCATCGTAAGCCCCTCGTTAATAGATGAATGGTCGCTAAGCGAACACATTGGGCTCTGTGGAGGCCCGTCGTTCGGGGCCGTCCATAAATGACGTCACGCACCTAAGGGGGGGAGGGGTTTGGGTCAGGCATTTGTGACGATGTGTGACGAATGGGGGGGGGGGGGGTGTTTGAGAAATGTGACGTCACATCAAATTACGCAACTTTAAATAAATATAAACAACACGTTCTATTCTTGGTTCTTTCGGTAAAGTCACGTAGAAGGGAAACAATCAAATAATAAAAATATAGAAATTCTCACACACTTTCTACTTAATTAAATAGACTTTTTAATAAATGTTTTCTCCTACAACATCAGAGTGCAGCGCCACATTAAATACGCACTACAATGACAATAGTTTAAAGCGATTTGAAGCATGTTTCATTTGGGGGGGGGGGGGGGCAGAGCTTTGTGACGTCATATTTGAGGGGGGACCGACTTTTTGTGACGCCGTGTGACGAGGGTAAAAAAAAAATCGTCCAAAATCGCGTGACGTCATTTATGGGCGGCCCCTTAAGCGATTAGTCATTGCCAGGTGATAGCCGTTAAGAGAGGGGGTTCTACCGAACGTAAATCCAAATGTGATCGTAAATGTAATGATGTGCGTACACATCCCCCGTCACTCAAGGTCGAAATCTACATCCTGTAGAACCACCCTACAGGTACCACGCACGAATCTTCCTCCCCATGTAAGGCACCGCACACATCCTCGAGGCAAGGGCGCGGGCGAGAGAGAGAGAAAGATAAGAGATATGTCTCCTCCCGGTTGGATATTTTCCAGCGCAAATAAGTTGAAACTTTAATGCGCACATCTGTCAGCGGGAGCAATGCAGCGGTTGGCTGTTGTCTGCGAAGATGGAAGGTTGTTGCCGATTATGCCGCAGTGGCGCGCTTCTAAAACAACAGATGCCATCATTACCTAGCCCGCAGTGTGTGCCGTGAGCCTTCGGGTTTTTATTTTTATTTATTTTTGTTAGATGGCATGGAACCCGTACCAGCAGGTGCGTCGTTGGCTGCCACGAGACAACTTAAAATAAAATAAGCAGAGAGGAAAAAAGCGTGCAGTCTTTCACTTTGGGGGGCCGTCCATAAATGACGTCACGCACCTAGGGGCTGGAGGGGGGGGGGCAGACATTTGTGACGATTTGTGACGAGGGGGGGGGGTTTGAGAAATGTGACGTCACATCAAAATGGGCAAATTTTAATAAATATAAACAACACGTTCTACTTAATTAAATAGACTTTTTAATAAATGTTTTCTCCTACAACATCAGCGTGCAGCGGCACATTAAATACGCACTACAATGACAATAGCTTAAAGCGATTTGAAGCATATATTTTTTTGTGGGGGGGGGGGGGGGAGCAGAGCTTTGTGACGTCATATTTGAGGGGGGGGTCTGACTTTTTGTGACGCCGTGTGACGATGGAGGGGGGGGGGGTCAAAAATCGTCAAAAATCGCGTGATGTCATTTATGGACGCCCCCTTGAGAAGTTTCCCGTGCCAGTGACTAAGTGTGAGGATTCATGCGTGGTTGTGCAAGCGGTGGCGGCCACTGTTAGGGTGTCTTGGGTGTCCCGTCGCCTCCCAGAATGTTTAGAATGTGCATCAGGGGGCAACCCACACAATGTGATTGCGTTCAATCAGTCTTCAAGGCGTGAATGCATTCATTCATACATTTACACACCCATCTGTTCATTCTTGCATGTATCTATCCATCCATTGATTCATGCTTTATTTTGTTCATTCATATTATGCATTTTCAGTCATTCACACTTTAATACGCAGATCCATGCATGCATGTATGGTGAGCTTCTTTTGCACCGTACAAAGCCAACCGTGCAAATCAGAGGTGCGGATCCATTCATGTATGAAACCATTCATGCATGTGTAATGACATCTGTCGACCAGGAGGGGTAATCACGTTATATAATAACCAACGAGAAGGGGGCATAACTGGGTTAAAGGTAAACGACGGGGTCAGTCGGGAAGCTCCTGGAACCTGCTCGAAGGTTCTAGAAGGGGGCGTGGCCAGAGGCCGGGCCTGGCCACGTTGGGAAGTATATAAGTGGTACGTTGCCGAAGGTCCGGGGCTGTCGTGGGGTCCCGGGTCTTGGCTGCCATCGCTGTCTTCGCCGTCATCTCTCTTCATCGTCCGGTCGCGTGGCGGGTCCTCTGCAGGGCTCCCATCGTCGTAGTCGCTATATTAGTCAGCCAGCTATGTCGTTAAGACGCCGACGATGGGGTTGTGTAGATGGGTCAGCTATGCGTAGCCGTATACATATATATGTCGTCCAGTGATTGTTCCTGAAAGTGTGAGAAATAAATAAGAAGCCCCTCTACACGTTGTGTCTCGGAAGTCGCTCACTACACACGTATCCATTACTCAATTCAGTCATTGAAACATTAAGCGACGCATTCATCAATGCGCATTAGTTCATTACACTGCCTGTACAACACATACAGGCTGCGTGGCATACACTACCCTGACCAGAGAGTCACGTCCACAGATATGTAAATGACATTCAAATGACATGCACATAATATGCATATTATAATGCGTGTACCGCCACATGACTCCCATGCGTTGTGCGGGGTGTGCATCTACAAGAAGAGCCACAGTGTCGGGCACAGGGGTTCTATAACCATACATGCGATCGACTCACGTCGCCCCTCGCTCACGACCCACGTCGAACTGTCTCATGCTGTTCGGTGAGGGTTCGTGTAAGGAGAATCTCGGGACCGGTTCAGACATCACACGCCACTGATGTTCGTCGTGGCCAGGAATCGAACTCAGGTTACCGGGTTCAAAGCAAATTGTACTAAACACTGCCCTACTCCTCCACCCATTAGCTTGAATAACTAACTTAGAATAATACAAATGACAAAACATTATTAAAACGTTATTTTCTCACGTTAACTTCACGCCGTATTCATTTTAAATCCATTCGTAACTGAACGGTAAACTATGATAATACTCCAACGGAATAGATACGAAATGTCACATCCTAGATTGCATTATAAACCCACAAATGAAATTTGCAGAAAGAAAAAACAAGAATTGCTCAATTCTCGAGTCCTTAATAACGCGTTTTTGTTCGGGTTCAATGCAAGCACTCGCTTCTCGATTATAACAATATTCCGCGTGATGAAATGTTTGATTCGCGAGTCATCAGTCCGTCCAATGTTTGACGAGAACAGCAACTCTCACTCGCGAGTGACCATTTGGTTTTGCCAGCCTCACACACACATCGCCACCACCATCATCACCATCGTCATCACCATCGTCATCAGCATCATCAGCACCATTATCACCATCATCACCCTCATCATTACCACCACCATCATCGCCACCACCATCATCACTACCATCATCACCATCATCACCCTCATCATTACCATCGCCACCACCATCATCACCACCGTCATCAGCATTATTATCATCAGCACCATCATCATCAGCACCATTATCATCACCCTCATCATTACCATCATCACCACCATCATCACCACCATCATCATCAGCAGCAGCACCATCACTACCATCACCACCATCAATCACCACCACCATCATTCGCTTGATTATATTATTTACCACACTGCAGGGGTTTTCTGATTGGGGTACTCGCGTTTTTCCTTCCCGCACGCGCGCGCGTCGACTGAAAATCAGTAGGCTCCTGCGCAGATGCCAGAAAAAAATTCAAAGTGTGCAGTTTTGATGAAAGGGGGAGGGGGGGGGGGGGTCCAAATTGGGTGCTCATAATTGCAAAGTAGAGGACAGATGTTAAAAAGTAAAAAAAAAAATGGACCAATGATAGACTTTGTCAGCATGGATGCAGCACCAAATAAAGGAAACCCAATTTGCATTATTAAAGTCTGTACAAAAAGGAGCTCTGATAAGGGTGTGCACAGCATGGCGGTGGGTTTTGCACCAGCACCATAGCTCTTCATTTACACACAGATAATCGTGTGAAGCATGAATGCATTCTAATGGGAGCCCCAACATGTGAGGGTGTTAACTGGCTGAGCTCTGAAGCCCGCCGCCGTCTGCAATTTGTATAAATTGTGTACAGCCGCTGAACCCAAATGAATTAACTGTCTTTGATTCAGCCAAATTTCTTTATCTACGCACGAACATTAAAATTCACAACTGTGCTACTTGCCAGCCCAGCAAAGTGCAAAGTGTTCAAATGGCACCAGCAATCCTGCTTTATATAATATATAATTGCATGCAAAGAACAAAGCCATGGATTAGAGAAATTGTTATATAGGATAAAAAAAAAAATTGATATATATAAAATCCA